CATCGTATAGCTAGAAGTGTTGGTAAGAGTAGGGAAAAAAAGAAGAAAATGTAAAGAACGGGAAAAGAAGGTGAATAGGTGGAACGCCATCAATGCATCGGAGGGAATTTTCCAGTCAGTAGCAGTGAAACAAATGGACGGGCGCTCACGAAGGTAACCTTATTTATTGTGGAAGAAGCCGAGATAACTTCGTAATATTGTATTCAATGTGTATTTCAGCAGTTACCATAACTCACTGATGCCGTATTTTATTGAGCCTGCACCAGTTATGTAATCCATTCATTTATTCTGTCAAGGTAAGCCAATTGACAAGCATACAAGCAGCTAAAGTGCACTGTGAAAGACCCAAAAGAAAAAACACACCCAAGAATGCGTCACACTCTGCGATTCTTGGTGCTGCTGCTCTGCTGCGTCTCTGCTTCTGTTGCCGTCGCAGAGCATCACTGCATCTCCGATGAAATTGAAAAAAAGGTTGGACCACGGACGACAGCAGTGGTGCTAGAGCTGCCAACTCGGGAAAGTGGCATGATGCGGGCGCTGACTGCCTCGGCTCCCGGATGGGCGCCCATCCGCTTTCAAGTCTTTGCGGAGGATCTGAACGATCCCTCAAAACACTGCACCGCCGAGGGGCAGATTCGTCCGGACTTTTTGGGGGGAACTGTTGAGTGTAAAAAAGAGGATATTTTAACGGAGGAGAAAAAGTCCATCATATTGAAATCCCTTATTCCCCGAGCACTTAAAATGCACACGGATCGTCTCCTTGTTGAACCTCTCACGGTCAATGTTATTGTGCCGACGTTTTATTCGGGTATATGCGCTCAGTTTACAATACCCAGCTCTCACCACACAGTGGGTGTGGCCGGTGCGGACATGTACTTGTATGCCTCCGCTGCCCCTATAAAGCGTTCCGCTCTTGCGTGGGCTACTACATGCTCTCAATTACCCGATGGGCGTCCTATTATTGGTGTGATGAATTATGGCCCGAGCTCTGTCACTGATTCGGAGTACAGCGTTCGTACTTTAGCGCATGAGGTTGCACATGCTCTTGGGTTTATTGTGAGGATAATGAAGGAACGCAAAATGGTGAAAGAGGTTAAGGGTGTACGTGGCAAGGCAAAGGTGCTTCAGGTGTCGTCACCCAAGACGGTGAAGAAGACTCGTGAGCACTTCAACTGCGTGAATGCTACCGGGATGGAGCTGGAGGACGAGGGTGGGGCCACAACATCGTCGCATTGGAAGAGACGCAACGCAAAGGACGAGCTGATGGCTGGGAAAGAAGGAATCGGATACTACACGGCGTTGACAATGGCTGCTTTGGAGGACACCGGTTTTTACAAGGCCAATTGGGGAATGGAGGAACCGATGTCATGGGGCAACAACTCCGGCTGCGCGCTGCTGACGGAGAAATGCGTGATAAATGGCGTCACCAAGTATCCAGAGATGTTTTGCACCGCTGAAAGCAGCCTTCTTTTATGCACATCGGATCGTCTGGCGCTGGGGTACTGTACAATAGAACTCCACGACGCTCCCCTTCCTCCACAATTTCAGTACTTTTTGAATCCCAAACTTGGCGGTGCGCCCGACCTTTTAATGGACTTCTGCCCTTACATTGAAACGTATGCCAACACTAGTTGCAGTAATGGGGACGCGACCGTTATGCGTGGGAGCCGCGTTGGTCCGACGTCCAAGTGCTTGAAAGGGGATGGACTCGCCGATTTCGTGGGTTTTATTGGTGACGTGTGCGCTGAGGTGTCGTGTGAAAAGGGCGAGGTGAGCGTGCGCTACCTTGGAGACGATGCGTGGCACAAATGCCCGGAGGGCGGCAGTATTACACCAACTGGGCTGTTCATGCAAGGGAGGATTTTGTGTCCAAAGTACGACGATGTATGCACTTTCATCGATGCACGCAGGGGAGGAGGTGACGTGAGCACTTTGCTGTCAGCTTTTCCATCAATCCCATTGGTTTTATTGGTCCTCATTTTTATGTCAATTTGTTAACGATTTCGTAAAAAAACGCGTTTTGTAACCGTCAAATTGGAAATGTGCCAGGTTTTGGCCAATAGTTTTTTTTTTTTCTTTTTTGATCGGAAATTGTGAAGAGAATGATCGCGGGAGAGCTGGCAAACTTAATTAATATATATATTTTAAAAAATGAATACACCTCTTTACAACACTTTTTGTCTTGTGAATTTTGGGAAGAAAACAACTTTAGGGGATCAGAGAACCGATAGCGGCTAGATGTTTTTTTATTTTAAATTGAAAGAGAAATCCAGGTTGGACTAAGGAAATCGCTTTGTTTTTATACACGGCCTCCGAATGGGGCAATATTGGCGCCCGCCCCTGGGGCTTGGTACGCCAACATGGCGCTGTCCTGGCGCAGATAACGTCCATTAATGGAATTGAGCCGTCGGATGCGACGTTAATTGCGGCCGCCCCCAACGACAGGCTTAAGCATGGATTTCGGGAACCACCACCAAACCCTGGGCGGATTCGAGCCTTACCGGACACATTTTGTGAACCTCCAGACGCCCCCGATACCAAATTTCGAGACACAATTGTTCCCGCCCATCGTGCAAGCGCGGCCCGGGAGTTTCTTTTTTTTTTTTTTTTTTTTTTCCCTACTCTTACCAACACTTCTGGCTATACGATGCCATCTGAGTGCCGAAGAGGTGGCCAAGCAACGACAAAAGTTTCCTGCTATGAAGCAACTGCCATTGAGAGAACTTTCCGAGGCAAAGGTCCTGTTCAATGCCAAATCTTTGGCGCACAGCCAAGGTGCCTGGACATTCTGGAAGCAGATGGTGCAAGGTTTCCTGCGGGCCAATTGGCGTGCTTGTGGAAGCTGGCTGATCCTGCGGTAGCAGAGATCGCTTCCTGGCACTTCTGTTTAGATGTCGTGTGGTGTCTGGGTTGTGTGCGCAGCGACTTCTGTGCTGTGCGGTGCTTCTCCGTGTGGGGAAAACCATGTCACAGAAATCGCATTTGAGCTCGGGAAGCGGTGGAAGGCGCTCCGGATGAAATGACCGACAGTGACTGACGAGATTCGAGAATCCCGTCAATGTAGAATCACAGTACGGACATTTCTCCTTCCGACGGCGTGTGATGGTCCGTCTCCTTACTGGAGAGACGTCTTCCTCCCTTGCCGACGGGGGAACAGTGTCCGTCCCCGGTGCAGTCGGGTCGTTGTTAGAGCGCATATATGCAGACTGTTCCGGTGAGATGTTGCAGAAACGGCATTGGTTCGTGCAATCTCTCACAGCCCAGTATAGTCGGCCCCAGAGCTCAGATTCGCCGCACCCTGCCCTTGCGAGGTGAACCAGTTCCTGACGGTGAAGAACTTCCTGAGGGATCAGGTCCTTACCGCTAAGATCTGATGGCCTTGTGCCGCAAAGCAAGTAGCTATGAGTGTCTTGACGAATCGTACTACGTCACTTGTTGGTGAGCAGGGTGTTAATGCATGTCAGCAGATCCGTGTGCCATAAAGGTGCGATTCCTTGCTCCGTGCATTGTTCAGTTGCCATAGTCTGCGTCGCATACTGATCTGCAAGCTCGTTAGCATGTACTTCACAATGTCCGTAACAAAACTGCAGATGCACGGACCAGCCAGCACACGCCAGTGTCAAGAGACGCTGCCAGATCTGATCCTCCGTCCAGTCTGTCTGACTGAGCGGGCCCTTGTTTAAAGCCGCAAGAAGAGACTGACTGTCTGTAACCACAAGCAGGGTTTTATGCCTGTGCTGGATACGAGGGATAATCAGCCTCTCCAGGGCTAGAAGCAGCGCACAGTATACACACTCTCCAAGCAGCTCATATCATGTGGCATCACCGCACGGCAACCCCATCGTGATGGGCAGCCCTGAAGCGGGATGCGAAGAGTAATCCAGACGAACCTCCTTTCACCGTCGTTCTCTCGAGGTGCTCGGCTACAGGCGTGCCGGCGGTGCAATGATTATGACCGTCTCTTCCGCACCGCACCACCTGCCATCCCTTTGCGTGAAGGTCGCCGTGTTCGCCGTTGCTCTCTCCACCGCCCCATGACCACGCCGGATCGGAGCGTCGCCAAAAGCTGCCCCAAAAGCCAACACACCGGACCCATGGTGCGTTCTGTGACTCACCCGCAGCACTGAGAGTTCCTCCAGCAGCGCAAAGGCCGTCCGCCGTGTGCGCGCCTCTTGCGTGCAGGAGGAAGTCCCTCCGCAGCGCCTCCCAGGGGTTGCTGGCGACAAAGTATACGCACGTGCGCTACGACCCGTCCCTCCGTGGCTATGGGATCTGGCTCCAACCGCTTTTTGTTGTTGTTTTTTCTCGTGTTTCCTCAAATAAATTCGACGGCCCGCACGCCGTCCACCATCGTCGAGCACGTCCGCCCTGCTGAGTGGAGGCGTGAAGGAGAGCCCCGGCCCCCGGAGAGGCAGCCGCAGCGGAGGGCGTGAAACACGACCCCGTCACGCCTCCGCCCCAGGCCAGCGCCGTGGCTCAGTAATCCATTGCTGCCGAGAATCAGCACAATAACAAATCCATAAATTAATCAGCCAAATAATCGACAAATAATGAGAAGTGAGAAGGCGCCTGCCACCAGCATCGAAGTTACGTCGCATCTTCGGGGAGCTTCGTGCCTTCTCGCCGCGCAGAGGCTCTTTTGGGGGCGGAGCCTTTCCACCCCGAGAAGAAACCGCGCCAACCTTTTCGTGAGGCACAGCTTCCCCACTTCCCAAGTGTCCGCCTCATGTTTTGTCTAATTGCCGGCAGCGCCGGGCAGCGGAGTGGATGCGGACTTGTTTCATTGCACAATTCACGTTCGCCGGTTTTCACGATGTCTGGTCGATGCCCGTGGCGTGCCGTGCGGTGGTGATTTTCCGTTGGTTAGTTGGACTTTGTGGCGCGGAGTTCTTTTTTCAAGTCTTTTCTGGCATCTTTTTTGGGAAGGCCTTTTTTTTTACTTGCATTTGTCTGCGTATTGCATGCGAAATTGATTTTAAACTGTTTTTCAGGTTTTTGAAATGTTTTCTTTTTTTTTTTTTTATGTAAATTTTGATTTAATTTTTTTTTTTGTGTGTGATAAAAATAACGCCTCACATTTGCTCATTATTTTGTGTTTTGGTTATATATATACAAAGGGAAAAAAAATGCAAATTCGCTCTAAAAATATATTACGTGCCATATTGATAGGATCAATATATTTTTTTGGTTTAATAGCGGTTGATGCTTTAAAGGTTGGAGTGGCTCCATTTCCCGAACCGGACCGTTTTGCTATGATGTCGGCCATTGTGGAAGAAATGCACCTGCGTGGCCACGATGTGACTGTTTACGTTCCTGGGTCCTTTATGAATGAATGTCACAAGGTTGCAGGATGCGAGTGTATCTCGATTGGTATTTACAATGAAGCCTACACGAAGAAAAATGAACCGAGCGGAATCTTTTCTGATTTAATTATTTCTGTTTCAGGGGATCACCCCAAAAAAAACTTTAACAATTTTTTTGCTTTGGCATTTAAAATGACTTTAGAAAAAAATCTTTTATTACCTGATGCTGTTATAGTGGATATTGAAACATGGGGTGCGGACAGTGTTGCCCGGAGCTTGCGAATCCCAACCGTTTTCCTTTGGTCTTCAAGGCATTGGCCATCTCAGATGAATCCCTCTTTTCCTTCTCATGGAAGTGGATTGGGTCTCCGTATGAGTGAAATAGAGAGACTTAAAAACTATTTTTTCCAGCGATTAAATCACTTTGTGACAAGGCTTCGGAACACGAAAGTTGACAATTCCTATGAATCCTTTGAGACTCTCTTGTATGGACGACATATAGTCGCACCTTTTGTTTTCGGTTTGGATATGTCTCAGCCTTTTTGCCCTAACATTCACTCGGTTGGGTTTCTGATTCCTCGCAGTAGAGAAATGACATCCATCAATAGCAGTTTGATGTCGTGGATGAATGGATGCACAGAAGGTATTCTTTATATAAACTTGGGGTCCATCTCTCACTTTTCTACTGAATGGACAAAGGGTTTATACGAATCTATTGACAAGTTTACTAAGAAGGGATTAATGTGTGTTTTGTGGGAGGTTTCTGATAATCGGCGCCCCCCATTGGTGGGTAAAAAGAATGGCGTCCGTTTTCGATTATCTCCATTTTTTTCATTTTCAAGACTTTTAATTTTGCATCATAAAAACACGAAAATCTTTTTAACAAATTGTGGCGGTAATTCAGTTTATGAAGCTGTGGAGAGTGGTGTTCCAATATTGGGTTTGGGGTTTCTCCCTAATGAAATGGACATGTGTGCAAGGGCACAAGATGCTGGAATAGGTGTGGCATTGGATAAACTTGTCTTAAATTCCTCCCAATTTATTAATGAAGTGACGCAGTTAAAAAACAACCAAAAGATCCTTGGCAACCTTATGAAAATCAAGCGAATGGGATATCTGTTGGGGGGATCACGAAAAGCAGCTGAAGTTGTTGAATTCGTTGCTTCTCTCGATGCTAATAGTGTAGGTTTTTTCTGTCCTTTTACACAGTTACCTTTTATTGAGCGACATGATTTGGATGTTTTTTTTATTCTGAGTGGAATAGTTTCCGTTATTATATTCCTTACAATAAATATAGTTTGCTGCAGAAAATCTGTAGAGGGGTCCCACAAAAAACAGAATTGAATGGTTATGAGTTATATATATATATATTGTATTAGTAATGCGAACGAAGCCGGGAGGTGGGGTATTTCCTTGAATGGGAACGACTGAAGTTATTATTATTATTATTATTATTGTTTTTATTTATTTCCTGAGGGTAAAGTTGCTGGCTTTTCAAAATGTTTTTCTTAAAGAAATCCATCTGACTTTCTCCATTATTCTCGCTTGGAGGGCGAGAAAGGGGAAGTAAAAACACACCGGATCGTAGGCGAAAGTATTGAGAATTTTAGCTTTTAGATTTCCTTCATTATAACACAGTTTTGGGCGCGGCCAAATCTACTTTATATTGAGCTTTTCTTTATTTTGGAGTATGGTGCGTTACAGAGTAAGGATGTTTTTTTTTTTTTAGTAGCTTGTGAAGAGAATAATCGCGGGAGAGCTGGCTAACTTAATGTATATATCCTGATAAAACGAATACACTTCTTTACGACACTTTTCTATCTTGTGAATTTTGGGAGGAAAACGATTTTAGGGGCATCAGAGAACCGATAGCGGCAAGATAATTTTTCATTTTTATTTTACCATCCCATCCACGCCCTTTTGATTCCCACCACGCGGCGGGGTCTTGTGGCTGGAGGACCCCAAATTCTGCCACTTCTTAAGTAATAATATTCAAATCCTACCTGAGTACAGAAGGTCTCGTGAGTGGTCAACAGTATATATATATATATACTTGTTTTGAAACTTTGAGGGTATGGTGAATCCATTCTTATTTCATTCATCCGTTTTCTTATTCCTATCTGGTTTGGTTTCTATTATTAGGAAACTCGGGATTCGGCCAGCAGCCCAGAAAATTATTTTTAATGGATAACCTTGGTTTATTTTTATCTCTGTTACGTGTATTTTTACTCGTGAAAGTTATTTGATTATTTGATATTTGCCCTATTCTTTTTTTTTATTTTCCTTAACTCTTATCATTCTCCTGTCCCATCCATAGTGTTTTTTATAGTGCATTTTGCACGTTTTTTAAGTGAAGTGTGAAAATAAAATAAAATAATAAATAAATAAAAACCGTTCATATTTTTGGGGATGTCTGAGATTGAGGAAACATTTCAGCGTATTAGCCAGCGACCGAACGTGACGGGTATAATAGTTGTGAACAATGAGGGTGTTCCCATAAGAAGCACCATTGAAGATACTGTAACACAGAACCAGTATGCGCATCTGATCACGGCATTAGCTGCAAAAGCTCGTCATTGTGTGAGGGACTTGGATCCGACAAATGATCTTTCCTTTTTACGTATAAGGAGCAAAAAGAATGAAATTATGGTGGCCCCGGACAAGGATTTTACGCTTATTGTTATTCAGCGATTTTCGGATATGTAATGTTTTTCTTAGATTTCTACTTTGTTATTATTTTTTTTTTTCAAAAGAAAAAAAACAAAAAAAAAAAAAACTTCTTGTCTGTGCAATTTGAGAAGTTATGTAGAGGATTTAAGTACCATTGAACCTATCTCAATGATTCTTATATTTGCAACATGTTAATAATAATAGTAATAATAATAATGAAAATGATAAAAGCAGAAGCAAGATAGTATATGGGATATCTTTTACGTGTATATATATATATTTTTTTTTTCTGTTCTTATTTTTTTTTTTATATATCTATAAATAAATAAATAAATAAACAGAAAAAATGTTAAATGTGCTTGACATTGTTCGACACGTTTTTTGGAATGATCAATTATTTGATCGAGATTTGTTGCCTCCAGAAGCTGATTTAGAGAAATGCCAAACCACATTGGCCGATTTGGCGACAATGACTGGCGCAGAGCGCATTGCCGTATTTCGGGAATGTGGTATCCACAATTCTCTTCATCCGGTCTTTCTTCGGGCTTTGCAACGTTTGACTGCGATTCATGGATCGGGTAAAATCGCCGACAACTACATGCTTCATCATCATTTGAGTGCACACAATTGGAGTCCTTCTTTATCTAGTGCACATCTTCTTGGCTATTCTTTTGTAAACAGTGAGGCATTTAGCACTGAGAAAGTTGATGGACCCATTCCCCGTCCTAAAGGAAAGATGGTTTTAGATAGTGGGGGTGCTATTTCAAAGACCAAATACAATGGATTGTTGAATCAAGGAGCAACATGCTATTTGAATTCTCTTTTACAAGCATTATTTCATATCTCAGAGTTTCGATGGACCATTTATCAAATGCCAACTGGAGAGGAGGCGGAAGAAAAAAATGATACAGGTGTCAAAAGAACGAAATCTATTCCATATGCTCTTCAGAGATTATTTTGTCTTCTTCAAAGAGGAAACGAGGCGGTTGACACTACAGAGCTTACCGAATCCTTTGGATGGAGTTCAACCGATAGCTTCATTCAACATGATGTTCACGAGATGACATGTAAGTTATTGGACAATTTAGAAAATAAATTGAATCATGTTCAACAGTCTGAAAAAGGAGATCACTCATCTCATACAAAGAATAATGCCATCAGTCAATTATTTGTTGGAGTTTTGGAAAACTTTGTTTGCGTGGATGAAGTGGGTTATCACGGGTCGAGAGAGGAATTATTCTATGACCTCCAGTTAGTTGTCAAAAACACAACTGATATTTACACAAGTTTTGAGCGATTTTTTCAGGTTGAGGTACTTGACGGAAAAAACAAATACTGCTTGGAGAATAACGGGAAAAAATCATATCATCGAGCAGAAAAAGGTGTGCGTTTAAAACTTACACCACCTATTTTGCTTCTGCATTTGGCACGGTTCGACTACGATATAGAACGAGGGGAAACCAAGGTTTTGAGTCGTTGGGATTACTACAACAATTTGGATTTATCGAAGTATATGCCCCATGCTTCCAAAGAGGATACAGATTATACACTTTGTAGCGTTTTAGTTCATTCTGGATCTGATGCTGGATTTGGTCATTATTTTTGCTTTTTACGGTGCTCAGATGCATGGTATAGATTTAATGACGAAGATGTTTCACCAGCTTCTCTTCGAGAAGTTTTTGGAGCGAATTTTGGTGGATTTAAACTCAATTATTGGGGTTCAGAAGTTCCAAATACGACTAACGCTTATATGTTAGTTTATATACGAACTTCTCAGATAGGACATTTATTAAGATCTATTGGACCAGAAGATGTCCCATGGCATGTTGTGCGACAACTAGAATGGGAACAAAAAGAATATGAACGACTTTTGAAGGAAAGAGCTGAAGATCATCTATACGGAAAAATTTATTTCATACAACCAAATGATATTGAAGAGGAGCATGAGTTTCTTTCCTGTCGTCGACCGCAAGGTAAACAGTTCCCAACAAATACTACTTTTAGAGTTCTATTGAGTACAGAAGCTCTTCCTGCGTTTCAATCGTTCGTCGAAAAACAAATTGGCATACCTATTTCTGAGCAGTTACTTTGGTATCCTTCAGAGAGGGGTGAAAACGGTCATGTTTTTTTACATAAACAAGTTATTCAAGGCGTAACTGTATCGGATATTTTGTGTGGCGAAAAGGATTGCTGCGTTTTTGTTGTAACTCCCTCTACTGTCAATTATATTGAAGCCGATGGCATTGAAGAGGGTGACTCCGTTAAATATGACTTGCTTCATCATAAACTATACATTCCTCTGCATTTGAAAGTTGTCTTTTTGGGATGTACAGTTCTGGCCTACAAGAAACGTGTGACGTCAGCGAAGGCCATTCAGCTTATGGAGCCATTTATTCGGAAACGTATTACAGAGATTCCCGCTGATGTAAATCTAAGACCCAACCACCATTTAACTGGAGGAGGATCAAAATGCACGATTGACCCTGAAACATCAGCTGCTCCTTCGAATGAGAGACCTTTGGGTGCATGGACAGTTCCTCCTGAAAAAATTGAAGCCGAAAAAAGGGAGGGGTTATCTGTTTTGTGTGAGTACGATCACAATGCCTATTCTAAATGTTCACCGTATCTTAATTCCGGAGACATTTTAGTTTGGCAAGAGGCGATCTCTGAAGAAGATAAAAGTGGTGTTTTCTATCCTGACATTGTGAGCTTCCAGCAATTTCTTCGACGACTGGTTCCTGTGGAGATCAAGTTAAATCATCCGCCCTCATATTCAACGCTGATCAACACACAACTAGCAGAAAATATGACATATGAACAACTTCAGCGGTACGTGGCTCGTCTTATTGGTGATCCAGAAAACTATGACCGTATCCGTTTTACAATGCACAGCCCTGAGACGAAGCTGCCATATTTTATGAAGGGGAGGAAAAAAGATCGCCCAACTCTTGGAAAGTTGCTATCACCTCCGGTTCCACGTTATGTCGCGCTTTCACGATATCTTTACTATGAATATTGCAAGTATACAGTGACGGAAATTGAGGCAGCACATTCTCTTCAATTCAAATTATTTAACGAGCGCGTGAAACCTATTAGTCAACATTGGATATTAATGCCGCGAGAAATTCCAATAACACCGGTGGAACTTTTCAGTACGTGTGTTAGAGAGATTCAGGAGGTGAAATCTAATTCTGTTCATTCATTTCCAACAACTCCAGTTTTGCCGAAAACTGAGAAGGAAAAGGAGCTACAAGAGCGAGATGTGCTTGATTCTGATATGATGTTTTACCAGGATCTTGATCCCGACGGCGCATGGAAAGAACTTCGACTCGTAGATGTATGGCGTGGAAGAATCTACAACGTATTTGACAAGGATCATCCACGCACATTTGAAAATTCCACATTTGAAGAGAGCGCAGAGTATCGTATTGAAAAAATACCGAGGCCTATCGAGGGCGTTCCTTTGCAAAATCAATCACTAATTCATGTACACCATTTTACCATGGTTCGGCAGCGGTCAAATTCTGTTGAGACTCATGGAGATCCTTTTAGCATTTACATTGACCATGCGGAATTTGCACCTGGTCTTTTGCGACGTATTGCATATAAACTAGGGCTTTCTGAGGCGGCCGTGGTGGATTGGAAGTTGGCGTTGGTAAGGGAGAATTATGTTGTGGAGGTCCAACCTGGTGTGCCATTAGGAAAACAGCTGTTTGAATTTTCTCTTGAATCTCAATATCAGCCCAACCAGCAATATCCTCTCAAGATGGCATTCTTAGGTCTTGAGCACGCCCCCTTGTTGAAGCGTCCAGTAAAGAGGGATAGTAGGGTGGTCATCCTCAATTAGCGATAAAACCATTTTTTTTTTCTTTCTCATTTCTTTTCAAGGAAGAGGGAATATAAAACATCTGCCTAAATATATCTACCAATATATAGTGGGATTCATTCCTGTTGTTTTGTCGCCGACATCTTTTTGATTAATTTTTGCAAAAGTTACTTTTGCTTTACATATTTTGTTGCCCCTTTGCCTTTTGACCAGAATCAAATGCATTGGATAGAGTGTTTTTTCTTGCCTCCGTTTTTTTTTTTTTACACTTTTTGTGAAATGCTCTTTGCTTTCAAATGTTTTTTTTTTTTTTTTTTTTTAAACCCCCTCAAAAAAGAAAATAATAATTGACGACGATGTCTGCGTCATCAGAGGCCAATACAGATGGCAAGCACCGGTATGCTCGCGTTAATGTGGACAAGCCACGAGAATACTGGGATTACGAGTCTGCTCGAATTCAGTGGAGCTCGCCTGAACGGTACGAGATAGTTGAAAAAATTGGCCGAGGGAAGTACAGCGATGTGTTTCTAGGGTGGGATACCAAAGTCCGTCGTCAGGTGGTTATCAAGGTGCTCAAGCCTGTTAAGAAGAAGAAGATTTTACGAGAGCTAAAGATTCTTCAAAATCTTCAGGGAGGGTCCAACATCGTGGAGTTGTTTGACGTCGTACGTGATCCATGCAGTAAGACACCTTCTTTCATATTTGAGTATGTTCCAGCCTCCGATTTCCGAACAATATTTCCTATTTTGACGGACCACGACGTCCGTTACTATATTTTTGAGCTTCTGAAAGCTTTGGAATACGCGCATTCAATGGGTATCATGCACCGCGATGTAAAACCGAACAACATCACAATTGATCATAATCGACGCAGACTTGTTCTCATTGACTGGGGTCTGGCAGAATTTTATCATCCTGCCACGACTTACAATGCTCGCGTGGCTTCTCGCTATTTTAAGGGTCCGGAGCTCCTAGTTGAGCTTCCCATGTACGATTACCGGCTTGACATGTGGTCGCTCGGGTGCATGTTTGCAGGTATTATCTTTATGAAGGAACCATTTTTCCATGGAAAGGACAATAACGATCAACTGGTTCGCATTGCCAAAGTTCTAGGAACCGATGAGTTAATGGAGTACCTCCAAAAGTACAACTTGACGCTTTCTCCTCTTTTGGAGGCGGCAGTGGGTCGTCATAGCAAAAAGCCGTGGAATACATTTATAACCCGAGAGAATCAACATTTATGTTCGCCAGAGGCCCTCGATTTCTTAGATCATCTGCTCCAATACGATCACGTGAAACGTGTGCAGGCGTTAGAGGCAATGCAACACCCATACTTTGATCCTGTGCGGGCTGAGTGCATGGGCAATGTGGCGGAGAATAAGGTCACTGTGTAAATAAAAGCGGAGCAAGATCCAGTCAAGACTGAAAAAAAAAGAAGTAGAGACAAAATACACATAAATATATCCACAGTATTAAAAACAACCAAAAAAAGAATGCAATGAAAAGAAAGAGAGGGGTAAAAAAAAAATAAAGGGGTGAGGATCCAGACGTCGGACGCATTTTCGACACAAAGTTTCCTTGTGTTTGATTAAAAGAAAAACAATCACTACAGACGCGGCATACACGTTTTTTTTAAAAGCCGAAGGCGGTGTGGGTGCAGTAATGAACCTGACATAGCAGCGCATTTCGTTATATTTTGTTTTCTTTGGATTGCCAGCCTCTTTCTTCCAACTGCGATGCTTTATTTTTGGACGTAAAATATTCGGTTTGCAGATCTTCTTAAAATTTAAGCAGAGGTCCAACCACCGAACAAGAAAAAAAAAGAAACCGTTCATGTGTGTTGTACCTGGAAAAGAGGAAAAAGGAAACAAGCGATAGTCAAACGAAAAAAAAAAAAAAAGGATCGCCACGATATCATACCGTTAATGGACAGTGCGAAAATTGCTGAATTTGTCTTCAGTTCCTCCCTCCCCCTCCTTTTGCTGTTTGCTCCTCATTTTTTTTTTTTTCTAGTAAACTGCGGTGAGAATTTGAGAACATATGAGGCTAAATAAATGGGTGATTGTATTGTCCATCTATCATTGTTTCTTTGTCTGTAACTGGAGTTGGGTTTCAAGGCTATTGCGTTGAAAGGTAGCGAGGAAGTTTTTTTTCTATAAATTCAAGGATGGCTACTTCCCAATAAAAAGTACCGGGAATGGAAGGGATATTAGGCACACACTTTGGACAGCAATTCCACCAACACGCTCCGAATTGCTTGACCTTTACGTATACTATTTCCCATGGTGGGTCTCGATGAACGGGATTGACCTTGTCGTGTCGGATGGTGCAGATGATAGGATGCAGCACGATGACGCGGTGTGCGAAAGCGCGGCGGGCATGCGCACTCCGAGCTGGCCACAGTTTTTGGCGAGTCATCTCTCATCACCCATGAAAGCGGCGAGGGCAATTGGATGGAGGCGGGGCATGTTGGCCGCTGAAAATCTGAATTTTCGGCACGACTATTCTCAGGCCACCGGGGAGCACCATCATCTTTGCGCTCTCTCTCATTGCGCAGCTGGCGGCCCAGGAGAAGAGGGACTCCGTGCGACCCTCGCGAAGGGCCTTCCGCGAGAAGTGCAGGACTTTTGGGAAAAGGAGACGCGACCGTTGACGAGGGAGAGGCTTGGAGAAGCCAGCGCCGCCCGACTTCACCTCCCAACCGCGGGGTGGCAACTCCCTGGTGTCCAAGCGTCGCCTTGTCCCGTGGGAAACTCCTAGCATCCTCGTTTTTGCGACGGCGGCGGGGAAGATGGTGGTGGCCGTGAGCTCCCGAATGCATGCGTTCCTCCACTCGCCCAGGGCTCCGCCAACGACGTGCCGAGCCGGGAATTGTCGGGGGATGGGGGGAAGCCCCGGGTTCCGCATTCACGACGCGGCTAAATGGGTCTCTCGTTCTCAGAGTGGGGCTTGCAGGCTCTGGAGCTGCTGCTGCGCAGGAGCCCGGCGACTGGGGATAGGAATCCACACATGTTCAGGAGGCGCTCGCGAGCCCCATGGGATGGGTCGGGATGGGCGGTGATCTTGGTGCGCCGTCGTCGGTGGTGTTGAATTTCAGCGACGCCCTACGCACGATGACTTTTGGGCGGCGCGCCCCAGCATTTTCATGATGGGACCGCGTTCATGTTTTCACAGGACTATGTACGAGGCGGGCGCGTTGGCAAATTCTACCCAGCCGCTGACCGGGAAGGAGCAGCGAGCACGATTTTTTCGTGGCCGGCTGTGCGGGTTATTTGGGCAAGAAGCGTCTTGGGGCTTCTTGGCGGCAGTGGATGCTCACGGGGCATCCCCCTGATTGGATTTGCGCGCTGCCGTTTTTGACTGAGCGCACCCAGTGGGGCGCGAAGACTTTTTTTTTGCCGTGTCACGGTCACCCGCATGGAGGCGCTGGTGTTGGAGAAGAGGGTTGCCGAACGTGCCCGGGTTGCCGTGCGGCCATCGGCGACTGCGAGTCAGGGGTTGCAACCCGCACTTTTCTCGGCGTGTCCTTTGGTCATTCTTCGCGATCGGGGGTGTTGGGCGCTGCGCCTACTTGGTATTTACGCAGCACGCTTTTTTTTTGCGGTGCCGGATGGTTCATTTTTCCTCGTTGGCGTTTGCCAATTATGTGCCGCAAGGCGTGAATTTCCGTGTGGGCATTGCGTTGTTGCGGGGCGCCGCCTTGTGAAGGGGGCTGTGCGGAATTGCGCGCTTCGGCTTGGAGGAGTTCGATTTGATGGCGTGTTTTTTTTTTTTTTGCATTTACAACATTCACGCACTTTTTTTTTTTACACTCGCGGTCACAGAACAACCTTGCAGACGACCTAACACGTCGTGGCACCTTCAGTTCTGATTAATTGGCAAAGAGTGAGGCGGAGGCGCCTGGCTGTTGCGGGGCCCGAAAGGCTGCCAATTGTTGATTTCTCAATGAGCCCGGCTGCTTTATAATGAATTATGAGCTATTACTTTTACGGGTCTATGGGTGTTGGAGACACATCGGCTGAGTTGTGGAGAATTTCGGGTAAACCGAACCAAAATGGGTCTATCTTCTTGCTTTTTTTTTTTTTGAAGAGGGGAGAAGACTTCATCCGGGCGCATATATAAATATATATTTACAGGCAGGCAGGGACTCATTCTCTTCTATTTTTTTTTGTGCCTAATTTTTTTTTTCTATATATATATTTGTGGCTTGTTTGCAACCAGCCTTTAGGGGTTTTAAGTGGTGTATATGTGAATACATACACATACATCATTTATATTTCTTAGGAGAAAGGGTTTTGTTTGAGAGGATGCAAGGAGGTCTGCGTCTCGTTCGAGTCGCTCACATCACAGCAGTGGCGAGAGTGCGTATGGGGGCAATTTCTATCAATCATCAACAGTCACTTTTTAGTGGCTCTTCGGTATTTTATTGCGCTAGCGCCAGTGGTGGCCACGTCTCCGATAATACGCTGACTACCCGAGACGAGAAGGGAAATTCGTTGATTCGGGTGAAACGGCTCCCGCTTACGTTAATAGAAGAAGTTCCTCTTCCACAGCGTGTCTTGACAGATCTTGAACTCGTGATGATGGCGTGGTGTGAAGAACATGCGCGGCAGTACGCTATGATCATGATGGCCATCCGTGTGGCAATATTTTTTTTGCTGCTCATTATCCTCTATGTGTTCTACCGAACCCAACTTTCCAGTGAGCGGATGATACGAGGGGTGGCTCATATGCCAGCGGACCTTCGTATTGGTAGCGTGGTCTACTTTGACATTGCGGAAAACGGTGCAGATATTGGCCGGGTTGTTATTGGACTTCTTAACGAGAAATGCCCTCTTTACTGTGAGTACTTTCACCGAAGGTGTACAGGGAGCGGTGATACAGGCGACTCGTTTCGAGGTATGCAGTTGGCTGCTATTGTTCCACGACATTGTTTGATATTTGGTGATGGGAGGGAAATGACCCACGACGTCACTGGTTTTAATCCACATTACTTGCCTACCGAACACCTTGGGACAGGATCATGGAGAGGGGCTTTGTCTTCTATTGCATACGGAGTTAACAAGGAAAGCCCCAATTTTGCCATTCACGTTTCTGCTGGTGACTATGCCCCTCAAATATTTGCTTTAGTTATTGGAGGATTTGATGTGGTTGAGAGAATCAATGCTGGGGGTTCAAAGCATGGCAACGCCCCAAAGAAGGGCTTTACGATAGTAGAATGTGGTGAGTTGTGCACGCTTGCCAAATCACATATCGTTCCCATGCCATGGAAACTTTACGAAAGTATTTCTAAGGGGTATGACGAAGAAAAGTTTGGTGAAAGAATCCCTCGTGACTTCCTTGAGAGGTCTGACGAACATTCTACTGCCAGGGTGCTGAATAGCACAACTGGTCAGGAGAAAATAGGAAAGACAGTGCCTTGGTGGAGATTTTTGTGGTAACTCTTGCTTTTTTTTTTATTTGTTGGGCACGCGCGTTTCTTTGCTTGGGGAGGCGCTTAATTTGTTTTTTTTTTCTTTGTTTTCTTTCCTCGGTGGCCATGATGGATGATGTTTGGAGGATGTGTCTGCGTGTGTGTGTGTGTGGAGGGGTTGGTCATTGGAGACAACGTCATACAGGGAAGAGTCAACAAGAGCAGGAGAAAAAAGTGGGAAAAAAAGCCTGTGGTGTTGGGACGTGATGACTGGAATGGACTGCCGACACATTCGTTTTTGAACTTGTTGTCGGATTTCATGCCGAAAAATTTCTTTTCACTCTTTTTCCCCCCTCCTTTCTGTGAATAAAAGCGAGGTGGGCAGGGCGATGCTTGAGTTTGAGGGAAGCAGTCTGTTCCGACACCATATTGTGTGCAGCCTCCTCACCAACAAACCGGTCCGTGTCTCGGGCATTCACGACGAAGATGAACCGCAGGGAATTATTGCCACCGAAGCCAACTTCCTCAAGTTCATTGATCGCGTGACTGGTGGCTCTAAATTTGAGTGCACAGATAACAACACTACCTTGACGTTCTACCCGGGCATGATCCTCGGCGGGAACTTTTCGCATGAGGTTCCTAGCTGCCGTTGCGTGAGCTATATCGCCGAGGTTGCTGTTCTTCTTCTTCCTTTTGCAAAGTTGGATACGAAGCTGACGTTGGTTGGATCGACGCAAGGCGAGATGGATCTTTCTGTTGACACCCTCCGAACGGTGACTACGCGCTGGTTACAACTGTTCGGTGTAGAGTGCAGTGTGCGAATCATTCGTCGTGGAGCACATCCGGGCGGTGGTGGGGCAATTGAACTGCAATGCAAGGCGCTTCGGAAACTAACTTCCGTTGATGCAACAACTCGAGGTAGGGTTCGTCGTATCCGCGGTATCTCTTTTGGATCTCGTGTAGCGGCAGATCTTGCTCACCGTGCAGCCACCGCTGCAAAGGGTGTGCTTTTAAATCTCCTTCCCGATGTCTATGTGGTGACGGATTTAGACAACTCCAAAACACATCATGGGGAACCGTCGAGTGGTTATGGGGTTCTTTTGGTTGCCGAAACGACCAGCAAACATTGCGTTATATCCCAAGAGGCCACCGCGGCACCACGGGAGCCTCCTGAAGCCGTCGGAAAACGAGCAGCTGAGCTTCTCCTGGACCAAGTATTTGAGGGCGGATGTGTGGATGCACATCATCAGATGCTTGTTCTGATTCTTATGGCTCTCAGTCCAGATGAAGTGTCAACCGTGCGATTTGGCCAACTGACTGGGAGTGCCGTATCTGCCGTGATGCTACTGGAGGCTTATTTTGGGGTTGTATGCGCAACGAAAGAGGAACTGTCAATGACGGGCGAGAATGCTCCTTCCAGCACTCTCATTACATGCGTTGGAAGTAATACTGTTAACGTGTGGAAGAAAAGTGGATAGCTCTCTATCTTTCTCTGTCATTTGGTGTTCATACTCTATGGGAATGCTGAACAGGCCACTGACGCGGCATAAGAAGCGGTTAACAACAACAACAAAAAAGAAGTGATTTTTATTGAATATTTATTGAAATGGCTGGTCCGGATTCACAAAGTGCTCTTTAATGCACCAGCATCAAGAGAAACAAGACAAATGTGTGTTATTTTTTTGTGCATTTTCTTTTTTTCTCTCTTTGCAGGTTTTTGCTTAGAGGCCTTGCGGGATTCTTAGGAGGCGGGGAGTGGAAGAATACTGAAGGGAGATATGGACCTGAGTTTGTCCCACAAGGGCCTTCAGAGTTTTGATGCGTCGACGCTATTGCTTGAGGCTCCTGAAATTTCTCTCCAAGGGAAGAGTGTCCCATTAGGGGAACGTTACATTGCCGTCCGTACACTGGATTTGTCACATAATAGCATTACCCGCTTTGCGGGGGGCCAAGCTCTTTCTGGGCTGGCGGTTTTGGACCTCTCCAATAACTTCCTTGACACTCTTGACGCATCCAGTCTTCCGGGGGGACTAATACGTTTGAGGTTGGCGCACAATAAACTGCAAAGTTTACAGGGTTTGTCAGCTTTTGTACCGAAGCTGCAGGAGTTGAACGTAGGTTTTAACCGCATTACTAGCCGACGTATCAGCGACCTCCCAAAGGGTTTGGCGAAATTACTCTGTCGGAGTAATTTGATTGATTCAGTGCGGCCTTTTCTCGGCCTTGCGCACCTTTCTAGCCTCGATCTGAGCCTCAATCAAATATTCGATACGAATGAACTCTCCAGATTTGGGGAGTTGCGGGCACTTCGTTATCTTGAGCTACGTGGAAATCCCGTCATGAGCGCACCGGAGGCGGTTCCATCACTCCTCGCTGCAGTACCAAAACTCATTTCTCTTGACCGCACGCCACTCTCACAAGCGGGGGAGAACCGTATGTTCAAAGTGAACCGCTCTAGAAGTGCGAAAAGGGATCAAAGTAATTCTCGACAGCGGACAAGTAGCAGGTTGCTTTCCAATGGATCTGGTAGTAGACGTCATTATGGTAAGGGTGAGACGGAAATGGAGTTACGCCTGTTGGAGACTCGAGTAAAGGAGCTGGCACGGCTTCTGAAGGATGCAGAAAAGACTGAACTACAGTTGCGATACCAAAAGAAGATCTTAAAGGAACAAGTATCGGCTTGTGCCGGAGTCATAGATTCTCAGGCAATGGAGTTAGAGCGAGTGGGAAGAAGAATAAAAGATTTGAAGTGTGAAGAGGCGTCCCTTAGGGAGCCGGTCGCGGAGTTAGACCAAACCTTTGAGCAAACTCATGCGTCCCTTGTTGCGCACAGATTAAATCAGTCTGCCGGCTGTTTCTGAGGACCGGCATATCATCCACGAGGCAAATCAAAATACACAGGAAAAAGAAGGGGTGAATTACATCATTTGAACCACTCTTTTTGCGTGTGAGGTAGACGGGAGGTCTCATGTGTGGTTGGTCATGATTTGTGTTTGGACGCCATTTATATGGGATTTCCATTGTTTTTTTTCTATGTTTCCTTTTTTTTTTTTTTTTTTACGATAGTCTTTCCAGTCTCCTGTCGTTAGGCGTGCGAACAAGTTGCTGCTTGTAAGAGGGGGTGTTGTGTTTCCTGACTGACCTTTAAAAAACAAATAACGGTAAATACAAAAAAGGGGAAGGAAGGGGGAAACGAAAGGAAATTGTAACGACGAGGAAATGGCTGACTGCAATATCATAGATTGGATGGGCGGCACAAGCCGGTTCATTACATGTCTAACCTTCTTTATTCACTTCATTCATCCGCTCTTCTGTATCGCTAACTACTGTGGCTGGGTGTGCTACCAGGTGCCCGTGCTGGGGGAGTCATTGGTGCAGGCTTACCTTGGCATGTCCATTGTGGCCACCCTTTTCTATTTATTTGTAGCTTCTGTCTTTTACATGTGGGCATGGCGCTTTCCAGAACCCGAAGAGGTGTCAAGAAGGCGCCGAATTTATGGTATTGTGGTGAATCTGCTTTTTTCCGACGTGCCCATGTTCGCGATCGAGGTGAAAATTTGTTGGGATGTGCAATTTGCATCTGGAATACAGGGAACGTCGTTTCTGATTACATGTATTTCGTTTTCTTACTCCGCCGTTCGTGTGTGGACATTTTTCATGATTAAACTTATCAAGGTGCGTGAACCAATGGTAGGGGCCCAGCCACAGTTTGCAGGATCCGTCATGTATGCTGCTGACAGCCGCCGAAGAGGACCTCCGAGCTATTTCTACAATGGCAACTTTGCACCACGTGATGGATCGCCACCGGATGGTGGCGAAGCTGAATATCGAAAAAACGCTGGCATTTCACCTCCAGAGCGCCCAACACCTAGTGATCTATACCGACGGAACGCTCAATACACCGATGGTCGCCATGATGGTGAACAATTCAGCACGCCAGGTTACCAATCTTTACCTCGACTTTAGAAATTTCGAGGTGCTACTTGAAGCTGTTTGGATAGAACGAGAATATTTAGAATACACTTATCTATCTATCCATCCATATTTATATATATTGCTCCTTTCCCCTCCTATCGCTTTTTTTTTTTTGTTTTGGTTGTACAGGAAATTTTTTTTTTTGAAACGATTTTCTCTTGGCTTGTATCTCCATGTCGGGGGATTCTCTCTCTCCTTTTTTTATTGTATGTATATCTATTGTAAGTCTGTGCACTCATAACGTGCGGACTGCTTTTTTTGAAATGTGGTTTGTCTTCTTTTTTCTTCATGCATTTGCTGTGCCATGGGATAGTGTTTCTGGGTTGATAATGGCCAGCATCAAGTGTGGAAGCCGTCGCAAGGCCCGCCGCGCCCACTTTCAGGCGCCGAGTCATGTGCGCCGCATCCTCATGAGTGCCCCTCTCTCGAAGGAGCTCCGCGCAAAGTACAACGTGCGTGCTATGCCCGTCCGTAAGGACGATGAAGTGCGCGTGAAGCGTGGCGCGTACAAGGGCCGTGAGGGCAAGGTCACGGCGTGCTACCGCCTCCGTTGGGTGATTCACATCGACAAGGTGAACCGTGAGAAGGCGAACGGCACCACCGTCCCCGTTGGGGTGCATCCCTCCAATGTGGAAATCACGAAGCTGAAGCTTAACCACAACCGCAAGGCCATCCTTGAGCGCAAGGACCGCAGCACAAAGAGCGACAAGGGAAAGGGCAAGGTGACCGCCGCCGAGAAGGCCATGCAGCAGATGGACTAGAGAGTAACACGCAAGAGGGAAGTTGCTGGGCCTTCAAGGGTCGTCTCACCAGGAAACACTCTTTGAACTGCTTTTTTATTTCTTTTTTCCAATATTACATATATATATTGCCTTGGCTTCTTCTTCTTTATCCTCATGGGCGCTGTTTTGGCTGCTGGCTGCGTTCCACGATTGCCGACGATGCCATTCCGGAGAACCGAGATTTTTTTTTGGTGTTTCCTTTTCTCCACTTCTCCCTCTCTTTGTGTGAGTGAGTGTATCTTCTTTTGACGACTCAGTAGGGGCGTGTGCATGCTTCAGTGGGACTACAGCCTGAGGCGCGGCGGGGAAAGAGTTTTTCATAGAGTTTCTTCCTGGTGAGAGTAAGAAGGAAAGGTAAAAGAGCCCTGCATCTTAGAGAAACGAAGCGGTGCTGCTGGGAAAATGATAAAACGTTTGGATGCGGCGAGTGCAAGAAAGCTGAGTGCAGGGCAGGTTATCACGGATCTTTCCAGCGTGCTTAAGGAATTGGTGGAGAATAGCCTTGACGCCGGAGCCCACACTGTCACAGTACGCATTGAAAACTATGGTCTGGATAAGATTGTTGTCAATGACGACGGCAGTGGTTTGGCGCTAGGCGATTTGTTAACCTCTGAGGGTACTGTGAGGGAGGACGCGTCCTTGCCGCTTCTTGCGTGTCGGGCCACAACGAAGAATCTAATGGAGGAGGCCGATGCATCTGTGGCGCAGTTCCGGGATTCGCTGGGCTTCCGGGGTGAAGCGTTGCATTGTCTTGCCAACCTGAGCGAGGTGTCCATACAGACGATGTCGGCAGAGAGCCAGCCCGCCACACTGTGCATCACGTACGACGTCAAAACTCACCGCACCAGCGTAAATGTTACGCAGGAGCGCAAGCACCCGGGCACCACAATTGTTGTGGAGGGTCTTTTTCGGGCTCTCCCCGTGCGTCATAGAGAATTTAACAAAAACAGGAAGAAACAACTTCTTGCCGCTACGTTGCTAATGAAGCAGTACGCACTTTCTCACCCTCATGTGCGATTGTTAATGACACATTGTTTGAGTCCACAGAGTGCACCGGCAACCCTGGTCTCGTTAACGGGTACAAACGACATTCATCGTGCACTGGCAGAGGCGTACGGGGGACGCTACCTTGCTGACATGAATCGGGTGGAGTGGGAATTCTCATTTGGCACCATCACCGGTTTTGTTTCAAAAGTGACCTCTGGACGCCTCTCAGCTGACATGCAGGTTCTGGCACTGGATGGGAGGCTTGTGGATCTTCCTATAATATCGAAGGCCGTCAGTGACGCGTATGCTGAATGTCAACCAAACGCGGCACAGCGTGCGTATCCAGTCTTTTTTCTCCATCTTTCATGTGGCAATCATGTTCCCTACGATGTGAACCTAGCGCCCAATAAGCGGAAGGTCCTCTTCACGGAAGAGAGCAAATATGCAGAGGAGGTACACTCGCGGGCGCTCATGGAATTTCAGGCTTCCACCGATGGTATTGATGTGGACAGGCACATCCACATTGAACGAACACGACGGACAGACTGGAAGGCCACGCAGGATTTAAAACTCACTCGAACCCCTGTTTCCGCCACATCCTTCACACAGTTCACATATCGGCGAACAGACCCTTTCTTGACACCCTCGTCTACGGATGATGTGCTGGCTTCGGACTTGGTTGAAATGTCGAAGATACGTTCTTCTATTTATTACACTCAAACTGAGGCGACAATTTTTTCTACTGGGACAACCGTCGATATTGATAGCAAGAGGATTTCGAGCGGCAGCAGCTCTGCGTCGTCACGATGCTCTTCGACGGCAGAAAGGTCGTGTAATGAGGATGCGCCTTCGACGCGAATATGGAAGCGGGAGAGTCCAGTGGACTCGCCATGCACCCCGACGCAGAAGATGGGGGGTGACGAAAGCAACTCGCCAGTTTTTTTAACTGATGAGGCAAATCACCCTCGGCCTGCGGGCCCTCGTACGGGAATGCGGTTTCCCCCACTCACGGAATTATCGATGCAGCCATTGTCGCACGGACCCACTGAATGTACATCAATTCCTTTTAAACGTACGCGAAAAGAGCGCCAAACATTTGCATCCCTCACGGAGCAGACAGAAAACCAAATTGCAACGTACTTGGACAAAAGCTCCTTTAAAGAGATGATAATACACGGACAGTTTAACCACGGATTTATTCTGGCTTCCCTTGGAGATGACATGTTTGTAATTGATCAGCACGCTGCGGATGAGAAGTTTAACTACGAGTGCTTGTTGAGTCAATACAAAGCCCGACCTCAACCTTTGTTGGCCGCTGTTTCCGTGTCGATGGATCCACATGATGTTGATCTGGCGGTTCTGCATAGCGAGGAACTAAGACAGCATGGCTTTACTGTGAAGCGTGGTGAGGATGCCAACAAGCTGCTTGTATATTCGGTGCCTGTGCTCCAGTACGAAGCGGTAGGGCCTCATGATATCGTGGAATTAGTGCAGCAAATTGCCCTCTATGGCAACATCACCAAGCCGTTGCGCAGCTTGTGGCACTCCATGGCCACAAAAGCATGCCGCTCTAGCATCATGATAGGCACAGCTCTTTCTGAGAAGACCATGCGTTCCGTTGTGAGTCGATTGGGTGAGCTTGAACAGCCGTGGAATTGCCCTCATGGACGACCGACCTTGCGACATGTAGCTTGTGTATCTTCCTTTATGCCTTCAATGAAGGAGGCGTCTGCGGATTAAAAGGAAAAAAAAAAGAAAATGGTATTGGCTTTGACATGGTGCGTGAACTGGAAAGAACTTCTGCGTGTTGGCAGCTATTGCGGGGCCGATACTGCTTACTAAATTTGTTTTGTTGGTTTGCTTTCCGGTCCGTTTTTGTGTTTTTATTTTGTGGGTATTCATCCTTTTAATGCATGTATATAAATATATGTTTGCCATGCGTATGGATAAGCGGCTTTTTATCTGTTGTTTGCTACTGCTGCCGGTTTTGCTTTTTTTAAAAAATTTTCTTGCCAGTATTGCCTTGGGTTGGGCCGGGGAAGTGGTGTTGGCCATTGTGGACGCAGAGGAGGCATTGGGCTCGCGTTTTGAGCTCCCTGAGACGATGGAAACGGCTCCACGTGCAACAGGTGGAGCGGCGAGTAGTAGCGTGTGCTCTGACCTTCGCGAGCTCAACGAGGCGAAGGTGGCCAACATTCTCTCCTACCTCGACGAGGCCGTCGCGACACGGCCGCAGTTAGCTGCGCCCTTCGCCCAAAATGATGAAATGTTGCCCGAGTCGTATGTCTCTGAGGGCATTCCGCTCTCTTCATCGGCGGCACCCAACCGCTTGTTGCTCAATAAACCACCGCTTGCCGCACCGCCACCTCAATTAACACAACGTCAACAACAACAACAACAACAACAACAACAAATGTCTTCGAGTGCTTCCGCTTCTTGTCTCACTTCTTATGTGATTGGTGGAACTCTTGATCCTTACGTTGGTGTATACCATGGCATCAAGTCCAAGATAGAGGCGCTGCGGTTCAGCAATGATGAACTTCGAGCGGAGAATGAGGAGCTGAAGGCGCGACTAAGTACGGCTCGCCAACGGGAGACGGAACATGTGGAGAAGTTGCAGGCTGCCGCTCGTAGCGAAGTGGACTCGTTGCGCAAAGGATTTCAGGAGTCCGAGAAGGAACATAACCGGGTGACACAATTACTGCAGCGGGAAAAGGCTCAGCTCACGAAAGCGGTAGAGTCGCTTACAACGCAGCTGCGGCAGGAAATGTCAAGACGAGAGGAGGAGGTGGCAAAATTAGAGTCGGCCAACGCAGCTGCTATTGCTCAACTGAAGACCAGGTGGCAGGCGCAGGAAAAGGCTGCCCGTGAAAAGTGGAAGATCTCAGAGGCCAAACGTATCAAGGAGAGCACGTTGCAGTCGCTGGAGCCCGACATTGTGCTCCTGCTGAACCGACACAAGGCTGAGAAGGCACGGCTGCGGGAGGAATTTGAGAATGAACTCCGTCAGAGGGACGAAGTCATTGCGTTGAAGGAGGCGGAAGTGGAGGAAGTAAAGGCAAAATTGGCGCGTGATGCCGAGGCGATGATGACGCGCGAGCAGAAGGAGTTCCGTGACCGCCTCAGGGAGGAGATAGAGCGGGTGAATCGCCAGCTGGAGGATGAGCGCCGTGTAGCCAGACAGAAAACTGAGAACACAGAGGCGTTTTTTGAGGAGCAGAAAAGTGTCATGCAGCGTGAGATTTCGCGTCT